TCTTCTTTATTAAGCCTCCATCTAATCTAATTCTAAACATCTCGTGAAGAATTAAGACGGATTAAGATTAATTGAAGAGTAAGAAAAAGGATTTTTCGTGCCTTAAATTTGATTACAGAAGAGAAAGGATTACAATTTGATCCTTTCACGGCATTGTCATTTAATATTTTCAAGATGTAAGTACGGTCAAGTCAAAATTTCATGCTGTAAAATGATCGAATTACATGATACGTCTGGATTGACCTTTATGGGAGGTTGAGATGAAAGGTATGAAGAATAATAAGAATATTTTAGGACAAAGATGTTGTAGCAATAAAACTATCAAATATCAATCACAGCTTGAGGTGATTTTAAAGTCTTAATCTAGGACAACATGTGAATTCGTTCGTAAATTTGAAGTCTGTCGCTTTGTGACGCTTTCAAGCGTACTTGGTTACTTACTTGGAGATTGTTCATGAACAACTCCTAATTGAAAATTCTATTTAGAAAGGAAAACTTTAAATATTAAATTCTTAGTAGGATTTGATCTTAAGTCGTTCATTTTTCAGTTGCATGCTCTTGCAAGCTTTTAAGGTTTCTTTATCGTTTAACAGGTCATTTTAATGGAATTCTGATTTCAACAATTTAACTATATATACATGACCATTGTGTAGATTTAGCATGACTAGTCTTGCCTAATGTTTGTCACTCAATCCTTCTCAAAATTGTTCCATGTTAAAATTCTCTTTAATTTCAGAAAATAATTACTAATTCACCAAAGAACGATACCTAATCAACCTCCTGGCTACAAATTAATCGAACGCATAAATATTGATCACAAATAATCCCCCCCAAAATGAAATATCTCAAATATTTCCATAAAAACTCCATCAAAACAAATCAGTAGGAACACAAAATTTCGCTCTTAAATTCCTTAATATTTCCCTTTTGTTTATCCAAAATAAGAAAGAAGGAAGGAAAAGAAAGAAAGCTTTTTATTAGCTTAGCATCATCAATGAGCAACAGAGTATTCAGAAGTGGGAGATGGAAGAAGAAGATATGGATGGCAACAGGCAATTGTACGGAAATAGCTGAGGGAAATTAAATTAAGTCCCAAATACCCTCACTCTCTTTAATGTTTCATAAACTCACACATTCGTCTATATATCCACATGTAGAAAGAAACAATATGAATGTAAAATAAATGAAGATTTTATCGATTCCGAACAAAAAAGAATTTGTGTCATTGAATTTTCGACAGATGCCTTTCAATAGGAATTGTCGAATGGCTGCTAATGTTTAGATTATCATTCTCAAATTACACAAAGGAATTCCACTTTTTCCGTCATTTAATTTCATTAATGTTTAACTTTAGACAGTAATTAAATAGCATGTTGCGTGCATTGCCGATGAAAAATAATCTTTAGTATTTTTTTTCTTGTGATAAGCACATTTAAATGGGGATGTTATGTGAAGGGCTTAAGTAGCTTGATAATTTCTCCCCAATTACTTTTTTTTTATCTTATCATTTCCACCTTTTCATTATCGTTGTTATCGCTACTGACAGAGTTGGGATTAGATGGTTTATGAATATACTCTGGAGCTGGATTTTTGGTATAGATTTACTCCAATTCTTACTCGTATCCATTACATGCTTCTGTTCTTTGTACTTATAAACGTAAATGTATGAGGAGGGTAGGTTTAGGCGAATGCACTAATGAAGAAGTAGGTGCAGGTGTATATCAACAAATCCGGAACTGTCAATGTAAGAATAAGTTCTCTATAGCCAAGCGACTAGTCAAATTCACGATGATATTTGTTCCAAATCCTACCAACTGTTTGAAAAGCTTAGATATTACGACAGAGAAATTTATAGCAATCTGGGACACACATTGAGAAATTCATAAAGAATAGCAGGTCCACTTTAAATTAAATCAATCAAAAAACTGACCAAGTCTGTACAAAAGGTTGCCCTAGATACGATTCAACCAGAAATCGGCTTCTCAACATTAAATCAAAATCAACACTTATATCCTCAAATATTAGTTTCCATTGTCAATATTACATGTTCATGTAATAACACCACTTCCTGCATGCTCCCACTCTCAATTGACAAATTTCAAATTTAATCCAAAAAAATATTCGTGATCACAATCATCAAAGTTTTTCGTTCCGACCATTGCTGCAAGTAAATGTTCATGTAAATCCAATTTTGTTGACTTCTGAATCAGAACTGGTGAGGAAATTTTACCAAAGCACCTCTCACTCTGCAGAAATAAAAGAATTGAGCGAATCCAAAAAATCATTCTCACTCTCTTAAAACCAACTCGAAAGCTTTTTGGGAAGATGAAAGAGACAGCATGATTCATGTGCTTTACTCTCTCAATTTTCACTTTTCATATCGTAGCTATGCAACAGTTTTTTTTGCGAACTATATTTTATGGTGCAAGTGGAAAATGATAATGAAATAGAAGATTTATCAGCATAGCAACAAGTGATGTGCTGCTTGTTTTGTTGCTGTAATTTTTTTTTTATTCCTATGAATACATATTAATTGGGTGGGCATTAAAATTGATGCTGATAATTAGATGCCTATTGAAATAATTCAATAATTGAATTTAATGCTTGGATTGAAATTTTTTTATGCCTTTTTAATTATTTTAAATTGCCTGGGATGTGCTGTATATATTTTTTAATTGCATTTTTGATTCGTGATTTTATTTTTGATTGCTTGAGGCTGCTGTTTGGTATCAATATCGGATGTCTAATTTTGAAATGTAATTCAAATACGCGTGTAAAATCATTCAAATACTTAATTTAAATGCCACACGGTTTTATAAATAAATTTTAATGATTTTGACACTTGTTTCACATTTGTAAAGGAAATAAACAGGGGTATAAATATTTTTTTTAATCTGCAGGAATTGAATTTGATCTTGCTGTGACGTCAAAAACACACTTGAGGTATGGAAGTTTATTTTTAGAAATTAATTTAAATTTAAATTTATCTCGTTTGTATTTGTTTGTTTTGAATACAAGAATTAAATGATTAAGTTAAGAGCTTTTATGTGTGAGATCTTGAATATGATTTACAAGTCAAATCTTATTTTTTGTAGTTTGCTAATATTTAAGACATTGTGAGTAAATCGTTGAATATTAGCTCTCGGATTGATTGGATGTTACTTTATGATTTGGTAAATTAAAGAATTAATTCAATTCAATACAAATCTGAAATTAGAATTATTAATTTTTAAATAAATTACTTTGATGCCAGAACAACTTTTGAGTTGCAAAAATCAACAATTTCCTCGAGTCACAAAAAGTTTCCTTCCATCAAAAATTCAATCCATTGTATTTTCTATAATTAAAATACTAAGAATTCAAAAAAATATGCATATTTTTTTTTAAAAAGCAGAAATTTCCTAACAAATCATCCACCTGTTCACCTACACATGCACAAATCAAAAATAAATAAATTGGAAAATTTTCATTATAAAATCATTTTTGATTTACATTTATGGAACTGACAAGCTTTTACAAAAATCCTGTCAAACAATTAACCCAAAGCAAATAAAATGAAAATTCATCGATACACAGTTGTTCACCTGATCAACTTGTTTGCCTGTCAATCAAGATGAATTCAATTAACACAAAAGGAGAAAAGCTAATAAAATCTGGAAAAAATATTCATTTTAGCTTAATAAACAAAAAACAAAGAATTTCAATTAATTTTTTGAATCAATTAAAAATTAGACTTTTATTTCTTTCAGCGTTTTTTTTTCTTCTTTGATGTAGTTATGAATTGTTTTAAAAATGTGTTGGATATTTTCACATTTCCATTATGTTCAATAGCTTAGCAATACAATAAAAATCTTGGACTTAAAACGAATTAATTTAGTTTATTTTTTGCAAATTACAGCATTTTCTCTAAATTTACACAGATTAAATTGTTTCCTTAAAAATTTCACTTGTTTTTATTTTGCCTTAGAAAATTGTTTTTCATATTTTTTATATTGTATATAATTTTTTTTTCATATTTATTTATGTATAATTGTGTACTTTACAAACTTTTTCACATTTTTTTTGTTTAAATTTAATTTTCATTCATTAATTTACGTAATTTTTTGTTTCATTTCAACTTATTTGATCAAATAAGTTAAATATTAATTCATTTCATTTTGTTTAAAGAAATTCTCACAGATACGCAGAAACTGCCGAACCATTTTTCAATATATTTTTAAAAAATGTCATAAAAAAACTTTTCTTTTAAACTTTAATTTAAATTAAATTGAACTACTTAAGCTCTAAGGATAGTAATAGAAAAAAGGGAGGAAAATTAGTTAAGAAGGTTAAAAAAATGTTGAAAAAGAAAAAATTTAAATTGACCTTCTGTGAAGGCATTTCAGGCTTGAACTATCGAATAAAATTATCAAACAAAATTTGAGTTGACATGAATATTTAAATAAATTTTCAAAAAAATCCATCGAATTCCAATAATCCAGTCAAAACATCTCGCATCATAATTTTCATTTCTATACAGGATGAAAAAAAAAATCTACAAACAATTTTAAACAATTAAAAAGAATTTGGCAAGAAATTGATTTATTTTTTTTTACTATTCGTATTGCTGCTAGTTTCATTTTGATGAAAATCCGCCAAATTGAGGAGAAATTAATTTTTTCTTGAGCTAGAAAGTTTTTCAAAATTTAACAGAATATTTTGATAAAAATTATGAACATTTAAAACATTCAAGAAATTTTCAAAATTAAGAGTTAAAAATCTGTTAAATTCAAGGGTGTGAAACATAATGAAATGATTAAAAATTGATCAAAATGATAAAAACTGATTAAAAACGATCAAAATTGAACCAAAATTATATAAAAAACTGAACGAAAATGATTAAAATTGATCAAAGTAGAACAATAATTAACAAAATTAATCTAAATTAATCGTTTAATTGTCAAACTTAGTCATAAATTGATCAAAGTTGATCAAAATCATGAAATTTCAATTCATCAGTTCCACATCCTTAGTCAAATCACTCAAAAACTCAAGCTCATTAAAAAACGAAATTTATTCACTACACAAATTTTTTAAAATCCATTAATTAAGTACCCAAAAAATGCCAAACAATTGCAGCCATAATAATTTACATTTTTATTGCGATTTCATTCATCCCTCGACTCATCCCATGTGTTTATTGTAAACATTTTTTTTGTTGTATTATTAAATATAGATTTTTTTTCTTGTATTTTTTATTTCAATTCAGTTTCAATATGAGAATAGCTATAGTACCTATATGTAGTAGTATTGACCGTCTACGTGAAAAAGTCACCACAATTATTTCTTTGAATATTATTAGTTTTTTTTATATTATGTAATGTGTAATTGGGAACTTTCAGTCTTTAAAAAATATCTTTATAGGAAAATCAGAGCTTTAAAATATGTTTTTTTGAACATAAAAATGCATTTTAAAATTCACAATGAAAGTCATTTGAAGCATTAAAAAATTTTCTCTATTATCCTGGTGAACTATAAATTGAGTTTCATGTATTAAAATAAAACTTTTGTATTTCTCCATTATTATGATTATTATTTTTTTATTACATTTGTGTGTGTGTGTGTGTTTTTTATGAAAGTCCACTTCTCATTACTTTTTTTTTGTTCCTTTAAAATTAACGAAAATTGAGCAAATTTATTCCTTTTTGATATTCACATTCATCCATCTGATTCAAATTTACAACAGTCAACTCAGATGCTTAATGGCTGTTCCATTCCCTCCCTTCTTTTTGCGTTTATTGAAATGCGAAAAAAAAGTTTCTCTTTTGACCTTTTATCAATTAAAATAAAGTACAATTTTTTTTTTATAAATCAACTCTTTTTTTTGAATTTCTCCTGTTTCTAGATATGCATCTAAATGTCCTTAGTATTTTTATGTAAGTCAGTGAGTGTAAAAATTTGAAAACCCTTAAAACGGAGGAAAAGTTTTACAATTAAAATGACTTTTGTACGTTGAAATTATTTTTCTGTTTTACGGTGAATTCTGTTGAAGTTAGATTGGAATTTTCTGGTTGGGAGTATTGAGCTGCATCAGTGATCAAAGGATAATTCATTACTGAAAAACGTGATAAATTACAAATCTACACTGAAAGCCACAAAGAATACCGATTTTGACCAAATTAAAATGGTTCAAGTTGGTCAAAAATACACTTTGTGCTAGCTTGAAAATAGATTTGGAATTTACCACATTGTCAATCGAGTAAAGTTGAATTTAATGTACTGTGGGCCATAGATCATCTTTGATGCCGCTTAGTATAAGATGATGAACAATATATAAATTAATTTGATGTTTAAGAATAAATAATTGCAATGAGATAAAATTAAACTACTTTTTAGTATGGCAGAGTATTTTGTGCGTTAAAGTAATCAATATTTTGGGTGTCTACCAAGTTGAAATTGCTTGAATTTCAAGATTTTTTTAAATCGATTAAAAATCTTTGATTCAAATTTCGACAAATTTAAAATCTTGAAGTTCAAACTCGAGTGAGTACTTGACGCTAATGTCCAGTAAATAACCAGTCGACTAATGCTTTAACAAACAAGCTTTAAGGAATGGTCCATCTAGTTATCAGCTCGTAGTATTCACTCAACAAAATCATCCAGTTAACTTCATAGACCCCACTTTAAAAACTTCTAAAAATATATAAAACCCATAAAACCCACCAAAAATTCCAATTTAACCTCTCAAACAAATCCATCCAATAAAAAAATACAAAGAAACTTTTTTCCCTATTAACGAACAGAACAGCATCATTCACATTTAAAATAGCATAAATTTAAAATGAAAACTTATTGAAAAGGAAATGATGACGACATCAGAATGATATATAATCGCTTATTTGTATTATTTATCCTCTTAAGATTTTTGTTTATTTCCATAATAAGTCTTTATGAGATGAGACTTTATGAGCTGAAGATGGAGTAAAAAAGGTTTGAAGTGAATTAAGATTTGCTTATTGAGTGGATGAGTGGAATGGAAATTTTGAGTTTATGCAATGTTTGAAGAGATTTGTTTGCTTGGAGAAATTTTTTGAAAGAGTTTTACTTCGAGCAAAATGGAGATGTAAAGTAGGACACTGACAGAGCTTATTATCTCAATGTTTTGGCTTAAAAGCTGAATAATCTGGTATCTTAGATTAGTCTGAGTTACACAAATGTGTTTTATTGGCTTATTGGTGTTCTATTAGAAGCCTAGTTGAGTTTGTAAAAACGGGCGAAGCTGGCGGTTAATCGACTCGACTTCATCCAACATTTTTCTCAGCGGTGCTCACTTTATTAAATACAAAGTGTTAATCTAGCTTCTGTATTAAGGCTCACATTTAAAGACATCACTGTCACTATCTACTGCAGCAACAACCAAATCAAATTAATTAACTATCCCCTCAAGAAGCACTCATTAAATCACCACTAATTCACATTATCTCATCCATCTTCAGCATCATCTATTAAGAAATGAGATAACCATGTTCGAAAGATTACTATAAGGGCTATTTACAGGGTAGTAGAAGAAAAATAGTTACTATCACGCACACAAAAAGTAATAATATTACTAACGACGCATTTTTCTTCTCTGAATCCAGCTCTTTATATTTTATAATTAATCAATTTTTTCCAATAATTTAACATTCATTCACCTGATCCCCGTACGTATTGTTTGTTTCATTAAATTTCTAATTTATCGTTCAAAAAAAAATTATTCCTACATCGAAATTTGTTCATATTTTTAACCTTTCGTTAACAATCAAATTCTTGGATTTACTACAATTAATTTTTACAATCAAAAATTTTTAATTTTTTTGGGTCAGGATGAACGAACTTGAATTTTAACTTTTTTCCATTTAATTCCTATACCATAAAGAATGAATATAATTTATCCACATAAATAGAATCCATTTTTTTGTCCTTTTCTTCACATAATTATTGGCCATTAATAAATCTTTTTCTTAAATAGTTTATCGAATTTCGTGTTCGCGTTTGCTTATGTAAATCACATTGAGGTTGATGTAAACTCAATAAGTTGTCATGACGTAGTAATGGATTTTTCATCACAATTTAATAAATTAGTAACAAATTCGCCGACACTATTTGCTGATGATGTGTCATTGTGCGAGTCAGTTAATGTAAGTGACAATGCCGATGGTGAGTCATCTAAATTAGAACCGCCAATTAAACAATCTCCAATGTCATCCATGCGTGAATATTTACGTTTCGGTACAGTTGGTGAATTCTTTTGACTTGTAGAATTGCTGAATGCATTTGATGTCATGTGATGATCCTGATGATGTAACTGATATTGATTGTGATGTTGATTCTGTTGCGTTATATTATGTGTGGATGTTTGCTGATGATGATTTGAGACAGGTGAGTTTGGTGAACTAGAAGTAATTGAATTAAGTTCAAGGAACGACGAGTCTAATTGATAATGAAGTGGATCAGAGTTTTGTAGATTTAATATTGAATCTATAGCATTTTGAACTTGACGGCTGATATCATCAACATCATCGACAAAGTTTATCTGAGATGTGTCCATCATATTATCTACATCTTCACTTGCTTGCTGTTGTTGGTCTATGATTGAATTTAAATGCTGTTGCTGCTGTTGAATATTATGATTTGAATGCAGAGTTGATGAATCATTGTTCTGAATTTGATATTGATTTTCATCCATATCATGATCCAGCCCATTCCATTCGCGATGTTTCGCCATATCATCACTTGTTGATTCAGATGTTAGATTAATATCGCTACCGAAATCGAAGCTATCGTCTATCCATTTATTGTCAAATGATACTGAAGGTTCTGTGCATGTACGTTTCGAGGTTGTTGGTGATGTTGGAAAAATCATTCCAGAATTTGAGGATGCAAAAATATCACAGCTATTACCACTCCATTGCCTTTTATTTGCGTTGCTCGCATTTGCTATAACCGGCTCCATACGTGATGTTGTCACTTGAATTTGTTTCTGAATCATTTCATCATATGTCAAGTCAGAATTTTTGTATAAGAAACTTGCACTGTCAAGTGCCGACTCATCATTTGGATTAACAGAGCCTGACTGAAAGAGCTGCTCCAATCGAGTCTCAACGAGATCTTGTTGTGCCGATTTTCCAGATTCATCCTCTGGTCCACCAAATAATGCTTCCAATCGATTCTCGACTGTCTTCTCACTCATCGTTGACGTTGATTCAACATGAAATAGTTCATTTAGTTCAGGTGGAGATGAAGCATTCAATAAATCATTTGATTTACTTGTTGAACTGAAAAGATCATCCAGTTGTTTTTCCACACTTTTAGGACTATTGTGATTCTCGAAAATGTCCGATAAATCAGACTCAAGTGCCTTTGTCGATTGTATTTTTAGATTTTTATTACTACCACTTGTCTCTTTCCGCTTTGTATTTGTAGTATTTGAACAACTAGCATCTAAATGTAAATTCAATTCCTTTTGTATCGATAGCCATTCATCGTATGCTCCATCATGTGTTTCGGTTTTAATGATCTCATTTGTTTTACTCTTGGATGGAATCAATTCCATTTTCACTGAATTTAAGTAATCAGAAAATGGTGAGCATTCTCTCTCTTTCTCCTTATCTTTTGCTGATGTTTTTGATGTCTTTTTACTATTCGTTGATGACGTCGTTGCAGACGATTGCTGGGCATTAGGCTCACACTTTTTCATTATAAAATTTGAACGAATTTCTGATTCAATATCAAAGTCATCCAATTCATCTTTAAGTTCATTAATTAATTTTAATGTCGTTTGTTGTTGTGGCGACTGTTGTGTTTGTGCTGATGGCTGAGCATTATTCAGATTTGTATTGGTTTGTTCATTTTTTAATTTATCGAACTTTGAAAGTCCTTTTGGCTGTGGATTTGTTGTCACTGTTGGAGATATTGATGACAATACTGGAGACTTTGGTGATGGAATTGATGAGCTCTGTACAGTTGAGTTATTAACCATCATTCCGAAACTTTTTCGACTATTTTCTTTTGGAATATCGGGTATTTCAATTTTAATCCTATCATTCTTTATAATCTCAAACAATTTCTGCTCTTGCTTCGCTTTTAATATTTGACTAGGCTCATGCAAAGATGGAACAAAATGCGCTCGTTGAGAAGGAGGAGGTTGAATGATATGTGTTTGCTGTTGTTGTCCTGGGGATTGTGTTTGTAGATTGCTGTTCTGCATATGCTGTACGGATGATTGAGGCTTCAAATTCGTTGATTGACAAATCGGTTCGGTTTTTATTGTAATTTGAGATTCCGATTGTTGTTGTTGCTCAAACAATGCAGAATTAATTTCCATTTGCATGGAGACTATTTCATCCTTTAGATCAGCAACTTGAAGTCTATCTAGCATCATAAGTTCTGAAGTCGGTGCTTGTTGCTAAGTAATTAAAAATTAAAATCATGTTAGAATAGAAACTCATGTATCGAGGATGGATTCTGACAAAAGAATTGATTGATTATGCATTTTCTGTTTGTAGTATTATCTTTTGTTCTTTTTGAGAAGGACCACATTGTCCAAAAAAGCAAAGCGTCCTTAGAAATGCATCAAAATCATTCCTTTTACATGTATTTAACATACCTGTGATTGCCTCAAAAGTAAATGTTGATATTTCTCTTTCATAGCCTGAAAACTTGCAAGAAATAGCTTTGATTGTTCCCCAAATTCAAATTCCTCCTTCGGGTCATTCTCGTCTTTAATCTCTTCATAGAAACAATGATACCTGATTGAGATTCAAAATGATAAATTAGATTAAGATGAATATAAATTATAAATTAATATACATACCTTATCAATCTCTTGACTGCATCTTCCTTACTCGAAAAGTCACTCTTTACATCTGGATTTTTGCAACCCTCTTGATCTACGCATATTTGTCTCTCAAATCTGTAATTAAGAATGATGATAATTTGATTAGTTTGAATTTTAAAAATGGATATAAGCAATTATTGTATAAAATATTTGCTCGATTTTCACACTCACAATGATGATCGTGTGAGCTTCTTTTTCTGATTTAATTCAACAGCAGCAATTTGCTGTTGTTTTATAATCGCTGAAGGCTCAATAGCGATATCATTCGATTGTACAGGAACAATATCAATCTTGGAATCGACCGGAACTTTTTGCTCCTTCTGTATTTGCGGATCAATTGTAATCTTAACAGTGGATGTCGTATACTTGGGAGAAATGACAATTGAACCAGTTGCTGGTGGATTTGCAATTGGAATAATTGGCATTGGCGTTGGAACAGAAGCTATAACATTTGGTGGTGGTAAAATTTCTGTCTTGATTTGCATTTGAATCGGTGTTGATACAACTAGAGGTGGCGGTTGCGATGATGTAGACGTCGAAGATGGTGATTCCTGTTTTATGATTGGAGAATTAACTTGTATCGGTGATGGAACCTTCTGTGAATTTCCTCCACTATAAAGTGATGCTCCAGAAGATGTAGACGTGGAAATCGGTGCAACAATGTTTTGATTATTCACAAACAATGACTGTGTTGAATTCTGCATAGTCCGAATAGAATTTTGATTCACACTAGCACCTTGATTCACAGCAGCTGGAAGCGTTGGAATAATTTTTCCTGTAGCCAGAATCTTCTGCTGTTCAATAAAGAGCCTTTGAAGTGCCTCATAAATTTCATTATCACTCATACTGTTGATGTTTACCAACGCTGGCAGCGGTTTATTGAATGCTGGATTATTAAGATCAATGTCTGACGTTAATGTTGACAAGAGATTCTTATTTTGCAATTTAGCTGACAACTGCTGTATCTGCATTTGGACATTTTTCAAACTTTGCTGTTTTTGAGGTGTTAATTGGATGGTTTGAACTCTTGGAATCGGAGCTTGACTGACACTTACTAAAGGTGGAGGTGGCGTTTGCTGTTGTTGTTGCTGATTGGATGTAATAATCGGACTTAATTGAGTTGTTATAGACGACTTAATCTGTTGATTTTTATTTCCCTTAACATTTTTATTTGCCGCTGCTGTTGGCACATTATTCGGCAGTAATGTTGATGTAGGAATTACAGTAATTGAATTTTTATTAGCTTTTATTGCATTTACATTCGCCTGAACTGTTGTCTTTGTGATATTAGCTTTAGTTGGATTAACAATCATCGTGGGATTTGGTGAGATTGTTATGGTATTTTTAGAACCAACACTATTTGTCGTTGTTGTCACAGACGAAGTCATCACAGTCGTTGTCTTTATTACTTTTGTATCCATTATTGCAACTTGAGCTTGTGTTGTTATCATTTTCATTGGCGGTGGACTCTGAATTGGCTCCTTCTTGATTTCCTTCATTTGTTCTTCCAACAATTTTGCTTTCTTTCCACGTCCTTTCTTCGGTTTAGTCTCAACTGGTTCCTTCTTTATTGTTTGGTTAAAATTCTGTACTTTTGTTGTCTTGAATGTCATTTGTTGCTGCTGTAATTGAATCTGTTGCTGAATCTGTAACTGTTGTTGTTGCACTTTATTTGGGTCAGTAGTTGGTGCTTGACCGATATTATTAAAGTGTATTTGTCCTTGAGATAAACATTGAGCTAATTGCTGAGCATTAATTCCACTCGGTACAATTAGTAATCTTTCCATTGGACTTAATGCGGCCGTCGTCTGATTTGGATTCAACAATGTTATTTCATTCGTAATTGTATTTAATGAGAAGAGTTGTTGATTTGGCTGAATCTTTGGCAATTCCACGAACTTTATGATATTTGGTGTTGGTAGCACAACTGCTTGCGGTTTCTGTTGTTGACTATTATCAACAATCCTACTTTGCTGTATTTGTATAGGCTGTGATGTGTTTTGAATTATTTGTCCAGATGGGACAGACTGTGTTTGAACCATGTTATTGAACATTTGCTGTTGTTGTGGCTGTTGAGGTTGGGTTTGATTTGTGATAATAACATTCTTATTTTGAACTGTTGATACCTGTTGAATCTTTCCATTTGCACCAATTATGTGGTGCTGAGTTTGTTGTTGATTTTGTGCTGGTGTTTTTAACGGTTCATTTATTAAACTCACATTACCAAGAGCTCCTGTTAATACTATCTCCAATATTTTCTGAGACTGCTCATCTTGTGGTATGTTTGGATCGTGATGTAGAATTAATCGACCATCCTCGGATAATGATAGCACCAAATTACCTGTTAATTGTGATAAAATACTTTGCGCTGTCGGCTGCTGCTGCTGTTGTTGATTGTTTGTTGTAATATTTTGTGTGACTGACTGAGGTGCTGTGGTAATTATATTGTTTGCAATTGTTTGATTCTGTATGTTTACTTGAATATTTGCAGGCTGCTGTTGATTGAATGATGATGTCCCTTGAATTATAATATTTCCTCCTTGTCCCTGTTGGGCATTTATTAAATTTCCAATTATATTTTGCGCATTTATCGCAGATTGTGTTGTTATGGATGCATTGTGAGAAATATTTTGGTGAGAGGAACTTGATGGAGGTGGTGGAGCGGGAGTTGCATTACTATGATGATGGTGATGGTGATGTTGCTGTTGGGGGTTTGAAATGACTTGCATTTGCAAATTATTGGTAACATTAATCAATTGATTTTGTTGTACATTGATATTAACTTGTGATGGACCAGAATTATTGGGTGGTGGACCTTGAGAATTGTGTTGCTGTTGGTGGTGATGATGATGATGTTGATGTTGCTTATTATCATGCTGATTATTATCCTGATGCGATATTGTTTGTTGCATTATAGGAATTTGAAACTTTTGTTTCTCAATTAAATGTCCACTTGTTGAATGGTTATTTTTCTCTAAAATTGGCATAATCTGAATTTGGTTGTTGATATTCTTACTTCCAATCGTGTTCTTCATAGTATTTCCATCAATTTGAGAAATTTGAATATTTCCGATTTGAGTTGGAACTTCAATGGTTTTCTCTTGTTGCTTCTTACTCTTCTTTGTCGTTTGTTTCTTTTGGCGTGGAGCTTTCACATTTGTTGTTTTTGTTGTAACGGTCGACGTAACAGGCGGTAGAGCCATAAGCTGATTTTGAATTTCATTGATTTGACTTTGTATTGTCGGTGTAACTGATGAGCTTAAGACTGAGTTAACGAACGACGGTACACATGTTATTGAATTGGAATTATTTGCATTTGCATCATCCTGTTGCTTTCCATCCTCAATATTCATTTCGTCATTTAAATTCGGTACAGATATTGTAAACGGTTGACTACCACTCTGTCCGTCTCCATCGAATCTTATCATAAACGGAACATTCTCTGTCATTTTATTACAATTATCGGTGTTAGCATTTTGGTGATGGATCATTGAGCCATCTGAACTTTCTATCGAGGATGCAGGGAATGACAATGTAAATGGCGCTTGATCGGATGAACTATTAGGAATTGTTATCATAATATCTGTCGCATTATTATCACTATTATTATTTGATGCTGGAATTTGTATTGTCTGCGTTTGTTCCATTTGTTGACTCTCCATTTGATCCATTTGATCATCTGTGTCCATAAAATCGTCATCTTCACTTATTCCACATAGTTTTATCACATTTGCTAAGTCCAACTTTCCGGTTGGTGCTTGACTATTATTATTTCTATTTGGCGACAGCATCGTTGAGCTCTCTTCATTGGTTATAATATTTGTAGATTGGTTTGAATACATTTGCATTTGTTGCTGCTGCTGCTGTTGTTGTTGTTGTTGTTGCTGCTGCTGCTGTTGTTGTAATTGAAGTTGCAATTGAAGTTGTTGTTGCTCTTCAAGAAGTTGCTTTTTCTTAGACTTTTTGGGTTTTCTTGCAGGCTTTGTAACAATCGGTTGGGGATGCGGCGTATGATGATGAGTCATATCGAGATTTATCATCTCAGCATTTCCCGTCGACTGCTGAATGATCGAGAATGGAGGTGGAGAAGACATTTCATGCATTTGTTTATCACCCGATTGCACAAGAACTGTCTGATGTTGAGAATTGTAAGTTATTGACGGCGGTGATGAAAGAATTGAATCCGATTGAATGAGTTGTGGTTGAGGTGTTGTTCCGGGTGATATTATTTGACCACCTTGAGTCATTGTAATAGGATTCTGTTGGTTCGTTGTGAACTGAATAGGATTAAGAGTGGACGAAACAACTGTTGGAACAATTTCATTTTGTGAATTACTTGGTGGTGATTGAAAAGTCGCATTAATGGCAGCAATTTGAGATCCTAAAGGTTGAATTTGATTAAAACTACCAAGATTTTGAGAGAATTGAGCAGGCAATTGCTGTAAAATTTGTCCATTGGGCATTTGAATTTGCGTCAAATTTCCATTCAATTGTAGGTTTTGTATTTGTGCTACACTCTGACCCAATATATGGCTATTAATAATTTGTTGATGTTGCCGTGATGTCTGCTGCTGATTTTGTTGCATCCCACTCAATTGGTTCATTTGTGATGAATTATTTGTCGGCGTTTTAATACTCTGTAAGTTTTGCTGTATTAAATTAGCTTGTGATGATACAATAAACGCTGGAGTTGCTGCCGTTGCCAATTGCATACCATTTGTATTCAATATTCTCACTAATTGACCAGCTTGATGCTGATTTTGTTGCATCTGTCCAGATCGATTGTGAATTACTAAGCTCGGTGCTCCTAATTGCGGTTGTGAGGGAGGTTGTCTTAATATCAATTGAACACCTTGTGCTGTATTTTGTTGAACTAATACTGGCATTTGATTTAGCAGCAATGGCTGAGCACCTGTTGGCAGTAATATTTGTCCTCCTTGTGTTGTAATTTGTTGTGGTTGAGGACTCGACGATTGACTTCCTGGTTGACTTGCAGATGAAATTATTTGTGAACTTTGATGCGGCGGAGATTGAAATTGCTGATTTTGGGTCTGTTGTTGTTGCTGTTGTACAATTGCCATTTTCGATTGTGTAATTTGCTTCGTACTTGTACTTGTTATCAAACTCTGCGTCGTTAGGGTCGATGATGTTAATGAAGCTGTTCCAGAATGATTACTACTACTATTTGCCGGCTTAGGTAATATTTGCTGTGGTGCTTTATTGTGCTTTGCATTGCTATTACTAGAACTTGATGTTGCTATGAAATTGCTTTGTTGAGTATTTGAAGTTTGTATTATTGATGCTCGATGAGATGTTGCCGGTTGTTGCATAAATACAATCGAATTATTAGCATTCATCATTGGAAACTAAAATCAAAACATTTGTAATTTATTTTGATATTGAATATTTAATAATAATTGACATACTTGTTGTATCACTGCGCTAGGTTGTGGACTAGCACTTGGACTTGCAATGGGACTTCCAACAAGTGCCATTGCTTTTTTCGCCGCTTTCGGGCTACACGCGTTAGATGAGGATGCGCCATATTGACCAGCATTTGGTGTACGTTTACCCTTCTATTGTCATATAAATGTAGGTGGATAGGAAAAGCATTTCCATTATTCGTCGAACAAATATAACCGAATAAAAAAGATGATAAAAAGGAAAAATAATTGAATTAATTATGCACAGTTCCATTTATTTTTTTATCGATTAATTGATGAGTTCAGTTCTCATCATGCATTACCTTATTAAGTGAAATATTATTTGATCCAACCAATGTTGTATTTATTTCATTTACAATGCCCGCAGGCGATTGAGTGGGTGATGGTCTATATACGATATTAGCATTTGGACTAATGTGATTCAAGGACGATCTTCTATTCGGTGTCCCAGTTTTACGATCCTAATGACATATTCATGTAAATTATTAGAAAAAATGTCATGTGTCGTGTTAAAGTATAATAATGACTTACTTGCTCCTGAGTCGCACTAAACGTATTAATGAAATGTTGATTATTATTTGTTACAAGTAATACATCCTGCGGTTGAAAAGGTGATTGTGATGGTGATGGTTGCAGGCGAGGACTATGTTGTATTGATGGTGATTGACTTGGCGTCAAAAATCCCGAAGGAGACAGAATACCTTAATAAGATGAAAGAAATTATTATAAATGCAAATTGGTGCATGCATACATTATAAAATGATTTAATGTTGGAAAAAGGGCATTAAATTCATTCATCCCTCTTGCAAACAGCATAAGTACAATCTTCAAAATCATCACGTACACATCTGTAAATTCATTCCTCTTCTCCACTCATTCCAATTCTTTTTAGTCTTAATGTTTACATTGTATAAATATTTTCACATTTATATCATCTATTCACTCTATTATGTACACATAAACCAGTACGTAAAGGCATTTTTGAAAGGTTATTGATGCTTCATCCTTTATTTTAACTCGTTTTGTTTATGAAGATTGAGAGTATGTCTGTCTGGCTTGTGAGCAGTCAAAAGGGATTAATATTATCTTTTTGTTGTTCATTTAGTGATTTTAAAGGACTTATTGTTGATAATTTGATCTGATTTGGTTTATAGGTTTCATTGTTTATGTTATAGGGTAAACTTATGAAACCTAGCAAGTAAACAAGAGGTATGTTGGATTTGAAATGATCAATTTGAAGTTTGAATTAGCAAAACTTAAGATTGACCTAATTCTGAAGCAATTGAGACAAATCTCGAATATTGAGGTTATAAAACAGAACCAACAGGAAATCCGGAAGCTTGTATTTCAAGTAAATTGAAACAAAAATGCGCGATCGAGCCCACTCACTCAAAATTCCATTTAATTGCTTCATTATCATTATTCTCATTTAAATTCACCCACATTTCTCACCAACCATCAATCCATAAGTCAATTGATACTTGTAGTAAAATTATGTTACGCTCATTCATTCATTCATAATTCATAAGATTAAATCGAAATGTTTTGTAAATTAATACAAACAACACGCTTCCATTGAAATTAGATAGGAAAGAAAGCAAAAAGCAAAAATTAAAAATTCTTTGCAAAAAACGCAAGTGTGAAAGATTAAAGCACCTACACGCATTATGTATGTATATACATCAAGGAGAAAGAAAGATAGAGAAAAAATATAAATAAAATATCAAGTGAATTTTCACTTTCAGTCTATTCTATGAATATAGTTTGTCTATACGGAAAAAAAATGAAAAATCATTCTTGATGATGGTTGAAAGAAAATCAATTTTCCCGAGAATCAAATATTAATGACTTTTCGTTTTAAGTGCCTCAAAAAAAACAAATTATTATTTTTTGACCTTTCTTATGAGGAGCAGCCAGAGTTGAGTGAGAGCTAGGTACTGAATTTTATAGTATGATTTTAATTAGCTTTCTTGAATCTTCAGATATCTCGATTTAAGTATGAGGAATCAAGGTTTGAGCTGGAGTAGTTTTCAAATCACAGAACTAGCTGGAAACTTTATTTACATTCAATAAGCTTTTCTTATCTTAAAAGATCTATTAAAGGTCTAGAACTAAGTCCGAGTAGTTATCAAACTAAGATCTGGCTATTTGTAGATTAAGGTTAACCTAGCATACTCCCTGCTTTCCTTAGAACTCTCCATGAGTAGCTTTAACCATTCCTCCTTCTTTATTTCCTGTGACTGCACCTCTGACCTATCTTGTTTGCGACAATTCACATTCCTTTCATCTAATTCTTAAAATATTCATAGACTACACGATTATCATAAATGGAAGAAACTTTTTAACATGAAATAAAAGTAAAAAGTTCCCAAAAAAGACGAAGAGAACTTCACATTCAAACGGTTCTTTCTTTTTTCTCATCATTACCAATTTCACACAAGCGTAAAGTAACTGCAAATCACAATAATAATATGTGTAATCTCTGTTTTTCTTTTTGACACATTAGATTTCCATAGAGCATCGAATTTTTTTTTTTTTTTATTAAGTACATGCAATCGAACATTCTTTTCCTTGTTTTATTTTTTTTTTGTGCTACCACGACTCCCGCGCAAATGTCGAATGAGCATGTGCTTTGATTTTTTTTTATGCTTTTCATATCATCATTTTTCCTTTTTTTATACTTCATTATGCGCTCTATCAATAAATATAATGTAATTTTATACACAGCACAGCACAGCACACGGAAATATTTTTCTTCTATCCAACGCGTTGAAAGTAAAATGAAAGGATTTTTTTTTTCTTCATTTAATTCGGAGACAAAACATGCAATGCATTTCCGTTTCGTACAGTAAAAAATAGCGGTATAATTAATGATTGGACATAAAAACATTCAAAACATCTGTTTTTCTTGCGAGATCCTAGATTTTTTTTTTGCATCACATCGCACATTTTTGTGTTGATTCTTGTTTTTTTTTTGTTCACAAGTACATACACTTTGAGTCTTTTAGAGTTTTACTTTCTGCTTGAGTTGTGTATAAATAGCTAATGTAACGGTTTCTGTCTTCATATTAAAATGAAGGAAAAATAAGTAGTGTAAAGAATAAAAATGTTCTGTGATCGCATATGTGTATTACCGAGAACATGTGTTGCGATCAGAGTTGCAAACTATTGAAATGATATAGGCGAATATCTATTGGTTTAACCCACGTATGACTCAGTTATAGTATAGCATAGGATAGTTTAATGTTGTGACATGTTTGTCATATAATACTCTAGAGAGAGAGACCATTAATGAGAATCGAACCAATGTTTTCAGGGAAGTAAAGTTTGCATAATTCTGTTTTCTAGCTACTCGGCCATCAGCGCATTACTATTGCACTCTTTCTATTCGCTTACATTTGATTTGATTGTCCCTGAATGGATCTTGCTCATAGCTTTCAGAACTATCGCTAAGAATTTGTGAAACTAAGCATTGTTCAGTCAATAACTAGTTTTACAACTCTGCCATTCATTGATCAAAGAAATAAACTAAAAAAAAGTTATCAATATTTCAAGAATTTCATCATGCACATCCACCAAGCTTGATGATGATAAGGGGGCATTAATTCATAGAAAATTATTTTAATTCCACAATGTCCAGCAATTATAATTGTGGATGTGATACAAGTGGTCATTATTTTTATAACTCCGATGTTCAACAATTGTCTGACATCAATGTGCTTTTCCGTTCTATACCAATTTACTACTTGTACACATTCTTTCTCTACCTTATTTTCTCTTACTCTTTCTCTCGACGTCATATCTTCCTCTTTTATTTTTTGGATTCTTACATAGAGAATCATCACACAGAATGATGTGTTATTAGAAAAAAATGGACGAAAAAATAGAGAATTTATTTTTTATGATTATTTTCTGATTTATGCCATTGACATTTCAACCTGTTTGTTTTCATGGAATTTTTCGTCATATTTCTTTCGATAGTGACAAACTTAATACAACTTTTAAACGTATGCATGTTTTCATCATCAATCGCATTATCATCATTTGTAGACATTGTTTTCTTCCTTTTTTTCATTTGAGGAAATTTCGCCATAATCAATTCATTTGAAATTTTATTATTCTCCAAAAAATAATAACTTTATATTGACTCTATTAAATATCATTATTGAAATAACTTTCACTTTAATAAAAATAAAAAAAAAATATTAATGAATATAGAAAAAAATATTTTTTTTTCATTTCGCTGTCCATGTGAGTTTACAGGTATGCGAGATGATGAAGAAAAAAAGAGCTTGTCTATAAGGAAGAATTCGCCATTAACAGAAAAAGAATTAGTTCACGAAATTGATTGTTTTTGTTGTATAAATTTGCAATATTTATGACTATATACCTCAACTGGGTATTTTGCGCAATGATTGTCGTCAATCTGTAATACATTTCAATCATTTAAAGACGAAAAAAATGTGTTAATAATCACATTAGAAATTTTTTTAATGATTGAAATCGTTGTACTCATCTCTCAGATCATCACACAGAAGAAGAAAAAAAATTGATGATGATGAAAAACTCACATACAATACATGCATACAGACAAAAAAAAATCACGTACAACAACGGCAACACTCTTTTTTTCACTCAGGTAACACTGAAGAGAAATTTTTTCTTTCGAGCATATTATTTCCTTTATATTTCGGCTTGAGATTCTCACTTTAATGCACTTTTTCGCTTTAAATGTCTTCGATTGACACTCATGATGCAATTGCATCCATTTACCTTTTTCCAAACTTTGTCGACGATTCATTTAAATTAGAAGAACTTAGCGCCTGAATTCAGGACGTATCATTATTTTCGTTCAATTCGTACTTTTTGCCACATAAATTTATATTTTTCTTATTAATTAAACATTCATTTACACTTTTCCTTACAGTAAGCACATTAATTTACATTTTAAACTTGAATAAAAATATTTTTTTTCACGAACTTCACAAATTTCTCACAAAATTTATTCGATGATTAATGATTAATGATTTTTATGAAGAAAATTACCTATGCTTTAGCTCTGAGATAAATATTCATAGCATTTGCCCTGGATATTTAAAATTTCTCATTCGTACGTTAAAATATGATAAAAAGTTTTTTGTTCAAAAATTTCAATTCAAAAAAGAAATTCTTTAATTTAAAAATCTTCAGTACTTTTTTGTTCAATCAATGACTGCATAATATTATTTTTAAACCAATCAGATAATCTAATAATCCACAATATAACATTTGTTTCTACAGCAACGCCCTCTGTCATTAGATTCTTAAACTTTTATTTTGCACAGTTGCAGTCAAGTTGAATATTCAAAATAATCACAATTTGTGACCTTTCCTTTATTTTAATAACTTTTTTCCTATTTACCTGCAACATTTCACTCTCATAATGGCAATGAGACGGTTGGGTATGCTTAATCCGAGCAAAACACTATTCCTCTTATGTGATGTTCAAGAGAAATTTCGATTTATGAATCAATTTGCCGACTTTGCAAAAAATGTCAATAAACTTGTAAGACTTATTATTATGTAAATCTTTTGATGCATTAAGAATCAATTGAGTATGTCTTACAGGTAAGCTTCAGCAAAATCTTTGAGATTCCACTCATTGTTACCGAACAAAATTCAGCAAAACTAGGAAAAACAATATCCGATTTGGACATTGAACATGCAAAAGGAGTCTTTGACAAAACAAAGTTCTCAATGTGTATACCGGAAGTCCATCAACTACTTGGCGATCATCAATACATTGAGTCAATAGTTTTGTTTGGCATTGAAAGTCACATTTGTGTTGAGCACACAGCACTCGATTTACTAGCAACTGACAAGTATTCTGTTCATATTGTCGCCGACTGTGTTTTGTCACGTACACTTACTGATCGAATGATGGCACTAGATCGAATGAGATCTCTTGGATGCTTTATAACAACTTATGAGAATGTCATTTTTAAATTGATGAAGGATAAAAATCACCCGAAATTCAATGACGTCAGGAAATTGGTTACTGAAACTTCTAGTGATACCGGATTGTTTCCAAAGTTGTAAAAATGTGGAATGGCTGGTTGTTTGTTAAATTACTTGTCACGTCTAAAACATAACTTATAAATTTAATCAAACAAAAGGTGCAAAATATAATTAAAAACAATTTTTATTCAACTGAATAAAACGGTGGTGAAATAAATAGAAATGAAGCCTGAACAATCAATCTAAAGTTCATATTCAGTTTTCGATGGAATTAGAGATTTAACAACGTGATATAAAATAGATTTAATTTGGAGCTTATCCTCTCGATTAGCATGCCGAGTACTCAATCGTCTAAATTCACTAGTTAAATTGAAAGATTCTAAAATATTTTCTGGAGCTACAAAGTCTAGAGCTACCTTAATACAATCATATAAGTTTGTTACTTGATGTGGTGCACCAGATGGGATAAAAACTGCTTCACCTGCATACTGGATTATTGTGTATCCATGAATCCCATTCTCTATTAATCTTAATCGTAAGTTAGCATCAATAAACCAGTCTTGATCATGCAATGGATCTTCATTCGTTCCCATATGCTTACCACGTTCCTTGGCAACTTGATGTAACACTTTTCTCATATCATCAGCCTGCGATGCCTTCCAAATGTACCAAATTGCTCCAGGAAGCTTAAGATTCGAATCAAAAACTTGCAGATCGTCTTCATCACATCCAGCACCAACCATTGCCTTCCTTACTTCTTCCTTTTTATATTGACTTGGTGCGAGATCTGCATCGTCCGGTTGACTTACGTGTACGCAAACATTAATAGCGTCTGATATATCTAAATGGAGATTTGTACTTCCTTGTCTTAATGGTAATTCCTGTGCATATGCTGAATACATTTTGGGTCCGAGATCTGGCTTTAAAAAGTGCTCATGAAGATATCTTGGCAAGTTATACTTTCCATCACGTCTCGAATAAGCACTAAATGGAACTGACTTCATCATGTCTCCAAAATGATCCTTTAAAGTGTCTGCAAAGTCTGATGCTGTTGGGAAATCTTTGAGTTTTAAAACTAATTTCTGATCACTATCCACTGGAAGCCTCTTTTTGTATGACTTAAACCCTTCCCAAAAATGTCTTAATGGAACTCGTTTAATGATTGAGTCATTAGTACAATTAACTAAAGAATGCTTATTATTGCCAAACTTCTTTAGAAAATATTCAGGATTCCACATTTCAGTTTTCATGTTTTTAATCACATTTGCTACAACAATTGGTTTGCCTCGTTGCCATTGATTTTGGAATAATCTATAACTTTCTTCTGATTCAGAAGGTTCAAGGAACTTAATGATATTCTTTCCAGCTATCCATGTATGCTTAATTCGAATATATGATGATGTATTTTCAAGTGAACCAATTGTTTTATCAACTCGCATTTTCTTTAATCGTTTCCTTTGTATTGCTTGTTGTTGAAGAAATTTCTTTTCTGAACTTTTTGGCGTTTCAATTTTTGGTGCCTTATTATAGCACTCACATTTGATAGGAATATTTTGTTCTTTACAGACCTTATGAAGGGTCTCTTGTAGAAGCAAGAGAGCATCACCAGGAATCATTTGAGTAAGTATTAGCTTATGATCCTTGTTATCATGACATTTGTACCAGAAAAAACTATCTCGTTCCTGCTTTTCAGCCTTCGTTGTCAACTTCCATCGTGCGAATCCAGCTTCTCGTTCCTTATAACAATCAATACAAATACTTGTGCCACATAACGTACATACAAAATGAAAATTAAACAGAGATGTTGCGCAGACCTAAAATTAAATGGAAATCAGGTATCAATCTACTGACTCTACAACAATTTACACAAAAATAAAAATCCAGACAATAATATTAGCAATTTCTTACATCACACAACTCTCGAACTAAATAAACAGCGCGTTTCCAAGCAACTTGATGATTTTGTTGATACATCTTACTAACATTCAATTCCTCTTGTGCCATAAAACAGAACTGACTACCAACGTACGTGAGAATATAATTAATAGATTCATTGCTAAGCTTTAATCGACTATCAGGGAGCGTCCACATATCTAAATCCAGTATACTCGGATCTGAGTGAATATCGAGGAATCCAGTGACTGTGAATTTTCCATCTTCCTTTTGTATTCGTCGAAACTGATAGAATCGACAAGTATATTTATTGCAATCTTTGGCATTCTCTTGACATTCTCGGCATTGGCTTATTTCTAAGGATGTAAAGTAACAAGTATCGTGCTGAAGGAAAATCTCAAGTTTGGAATCAAGTTGATCTTGACTTATTGAATCTTCATAAATATCGCTTTGCGGACTGTAGACTATCAAATCATCGTCTTCAAAGCAAGTATCATAGTTCTCTGTAATTACTTTTTCTTCTGCTTCATTTTCAATATTTACTAATTTTGGTTGTTTTGCTGCTTCGATATTTGGACTTTCTTCAATTTTGCGCTTTGCTGGAATCAGTTTTATGAAGATAATCTTACTCTGCAAAAGAACAGCAGTTAGTCTAATGATCTCAATAGAAAAAGTTAATTAAACTTACGTTTGAAGTGCTTAAATTCATATTTCTAATCTAATTTAACAAACCAAAACAACATTTTTTTTTGACAAGTTTAAATTTTTTGACAAAAACCGTTAAGAAATTTGGAAAACTTTTCAAAATAATTCGATTATCCGTGAATTTTTGTTTATAAACCGGCGCATAAAGATTTAATTTAAGTTTTCTAGTGATTTACGTGTTGTTTCACAATGATTTATTTACAAAAACAGTTAATTACATTCAGTTTTACACAATAATTGCAAAATATTAACTGAGACTCTTCATTTATACTTTAATTTCACAATAATTCTTAATTAAACATTTTCGGATCATGAGTGAACAAGATTTCTTCAAAAAGCAATTGGAAGCTCTCAGAGACACAAAAAAGACTAAAAATTCAGTTCTAGTCCTTCAAATTATCTCTGTAATAAGTGAATATTTTGATGTCCCGAGATCAATCAATGAAACAAGTCAGTAACATGTTATATCCCAAAGAAATCCTCAATTAAGTTTTACTTCCAATCATTTTAGAATATGCCGTCGAATTGCTGTTTAAAGAAAGCGATAAGAAAATTGACTTGATTAAGTTTATCATTACTGCTTCTCTTGTAAAAGACCTTAACGAAAGTGCCATTAAAGTTTTCGAGCTGATTCACAAGATTACATCACTTTACGGTGAATATGTCAAGCCTTTTTCAAAGTATTTAGCAAAAGTCAGTGTACAATGCTTGAAAGATCTTGAACCAAGTTCTAGATTTAAAGAAATGGCTGTAAAAACTGTGTCTGAATTGATGGAAAAAGAAGTTCTGGAAGATGATGTGGATATGGAAGCTATAATCTCCAACTTAATGGCTGTTTTCAATCAGGATGTGAAAAGTCGATGTGAGTTTATTGCTTATTAATTCATAGATTTGTGGGGAAATCTTTTCTGGATCTTTTATTCAAAAATTGGCCTTTCAATTTCAGTATTCAGCAGCGTCTTTGATCTGTTGGGAAGAATTTCGAAGAAATATCCAGAAAAATTCACCCAAAAAGCAGCAGTGGAACTACGAAATCGCATGATGTCGACAATACAAAATCTATTTAAGGATGATAAAGCAACGTCATCTTTAATGCTTATTGGTGGTGCTGTGGAAGGACTTAAAAATCATCTCATTAATTTCTCACCAAAAGAAAATGAAGATGACGAAGAATTTAAAGCTAAACTTTATGAATGCATGATCCAGTTGTCAGATCCAAATGAACATCCAAGCATTAATACAAATTCAAATCGAGTCGCGTTTCGCAATATGCTAGAAATTGTTCATTCATATGGACATTTAGTGAGCTATAATTTGTTTAAGGATTACTTGAGATGGCACAAAGTGCTTTCATTATGGCTGAGCTCAAAAACATACGAGGATAAGAATGCAGGAGTTTATGCCGTTTATACATTCCACGTTGAAGTTGCCGCAAATTTAGAAAAGAGAAAAAATGAAGCTGACAAGTCGATTTTATTATTTTTCATGAATTTTTTTCAAAAAACATTAGAATCGCCACAATCTGAGCCACATGAAATTCGTATTGCTATTCGTGGATTTGGTTCCATGGCTGTTGCATGTAAAATTCTACTGGAACCAAAATATCTAAGTGAACGATTTGATTTAGTCATGCAAAGAACTGAATATTCATATTATGTTGGAGATAAGATGAAGAGACGAGAAGTTTTAGAGCACTTGCCTAGTTATGTTGAAGCTCTATCCAAAATTATGAATCAACTTGATGAAATTTCTGGCATTCAGTTGAATTCTCTTCAGACAGTTCTTGTTGTGCTGATTAAAGATTTTCACTTTTTATCCAATTCTCATCATGGCTTAGTTGCTAACGGATTGCTTGAAACGTTCATGAATCTCCAAAAATCGGGTAAGTTTGTTACTCTTTTAACGATCTTTTGAGATTTGAAAAATAATAAAAATTTTGAACCTTTATTTTCAAATTAATTTTGACTGTTAATTTTCTAATATATTTCAACCGTTATTCCTCGCACTTCTTAATAGGTGGAAAAATCCTCGATGATATCCTTGAAGCTGTAGTTTGGCAAGGAATTCTATGGACGTGCAGTCATGAATTAACTTACGATGTTCATGAACAAATCGACAATATTAAAGATTTGAAGGAAACAATTACGTATCAACGATACCTTCCTTTATGGACACGAATATTGACACCACAAGATGAAAAGCATCAACTGATTGGTTCCAAAATTTATGAGCATTTTATTAAGAATTTATTCTTAATCATCGATAAATTGGATTTGAGTACGAAGAAGCGGAAATATCAAGATGAGTCGACAAATACGGAAGTAGAATTTTATTTCACTGATCCGTCGTTAGATCTGGAGCCTGTTCGAGCTGAAAACTTCCAGATTCTGTACAACTTAGTCCAATTTTATCAAGACATATTGATTAAACAAACAAATGAGCAGCTTGAGAAGTATTTCTTGGAATGGATGCAATTGTGGCTTGAAAAATCAATTCAGTTGTCATACAAGCATTCCATTATATCTGCCTTTATGTATTTCGTGGAAATTGGATTGAACATTATAGAACGAGTAAAGTACACACACGATTCAAGTGATATTGAGACATTAAAATCTTACATAAGAACATTATTTCCTCGATGTCAACAAGTATCTGGAGAACTTCAAGTCGCGTGCCTTCAGCTGATTTTTAAGACACCAACATTTATTTTAATCGATCATATAAATGAGATGAAAAATATTCTCATTATTGGATTTACAGTTGGCAAAAGTGTCTTAAGCTTAGCACATTATGCATTGACATGCTTTGAATCTTTAGTACAAACACTTTTTGAAGATTCTAAGATTAGAAGGAATTTATTGGAACAAGTTTTGCCATGTTTAGAGACATTCTTATCAACCAGCAAGGAATCGACAGTTGAAAGTGAATTAAGAGTGCTCAAATATCGAAAGCGAAAGAACAAAGCAATTATTCAAAATGTTGAGACTGACTTGATGAAGATTAAGAAGAGAATTATGTTGTTTTTGGGAAATTGTTCGCCTGACGAAGCTCAATTGATATTAAGTAACTTCCAGCAAAAATTAATTAAAGATTACATCACAGACATCTTTCAAGTCAAGCTGGAATGTGATGATCCATCGACACCACTAATTTATTTAGATCAAATCATCGAAAGAGTATGTCATCTTTCATTATACTCAAGTGATCGATCAACAAAAGTGTCAGCATGTGAATTGTTGCATGGACTAGTGCTGTATATGATGGGAAAGAATTTAGAACGACCAGAATCATTACCAATGTGGCGAAGTTTATGTAAAAATATTATAATTCTTGGTGCTGATAAGGATCAAACTGTTCGACAGCTTTTTGAGCCACTTTTAATGCAAATGATGCATTACTATTCGCAGCCTAATAAAATCTTATCTCCATTGTCGACTGTTTTAATGGAAAGTGTTATGGAAATGATGTCATACAAAGAAAATGGAATACAAGACTTGTCTGCAAGATTATTGAGAGAATATATATTATGGCTTATGCGTCAAACTGATCGTGAACAGAGGAAAATATCCCCTGTTAGGCTTGTTGACTTCTTTTATGAGCTGAGAAAAATGTCGATGGATGCAGATCAGTAAGTTCGCTTTGATCTTTTCTTAAAATCCGTTATTTTGAACTTTCAGTTAATTTTTATAAAATTTTGCACATTTAACGTTATTTATTCAATGAAATTGTTTTTTATTTTTCAACAGATCTCGACGTCTAGCAGCAACTTTAGGCTTCAATAACATCTATAGAATTGTACGAGAAGAAGAATCCTTAATTGATGTCTATTGGTTGCATTTATTGGACATATTTTGCATGAATTTCAAGTAAGTTTTCAATTTTAATCCAAATTCTAGCATCTAATACATAAAAGCCCAATTCACTGATTCACTGACTCTGGAACGGAAGCCATGTGTAGACATTTGTGAAGCCGCGTGAAGACAAAATTGAAGGAGTGTTGACAAGTGATTGTCAGGTGGGTGTGGGTGTCAGGTGTGGGGTGGGTGTCAGGTGTGGGGTGGGTGTCAGGTGGGGGATGGGTACAAGGTGGGGATTGGGGGCAAGGGGGTTGTCAGGTATATTTTGTGAAGCCAATGATTTGAGGAGTGCTGACAAGGTGGGTGTCAGTTTGGGGGGGGGGGGGGGGGTGGTTCCGAAAGAACATGGTGGGTTTCGGGGGAATTAAAGTTTTAGTGGGATTAAGGGGGTCCGAGTTTGAGGGGGTTTGTGAAGCCATTTATATAGTTTTTGTGGGATTAAGGAAATCCGAGTTTGAAGGGGTTGTAAGGCCATGTGAAGTTTTGTGGTAGGATTGACCTTAAAACATGGTTATTTGCGTCTTACAGTTATTTACATAATAGTAATCAAATTTAAACCCTGATAAGAGGCGCCACGGGCGCATCCGGATAGCCTAGTTATATATAATATCCATCGTCTCACAGGAGTACAGAAGACTTCTCCGAGAACCTTGATGTCTATTTTGTGGACAGCCGTCGATTTGAACAAATATCAGCAAGTTTGGATCATTTGACAAGAGTTTTTGTAGAACGGAATGAAATCTTTAATCAAGTCAATAGCGATCGAATTGTCCCAAAAGGTTTTCGTGGTATGACATTAAAAGATGTCTTAAATTGGCTGTTTGTACAATGTGCAGCGCCTCAATATTTCTATAGACATAAATGCATGGAAATATTTAATAAAATTCTAACAGTTTATAACACTAAGGAATTTTACTACAATGAGAATTGGACAGTTGATAAAATTATTAAAATTGGTGACAACTCGACTGGAATCGCTAAACATCGAGATTTAATGTATTTAAAAGATACACAAGAACCAGTTTATAAGGAAACATTTTTATGGCTGAGAAAATTGCTTAGTGCTGTTGAATTCTATCACTGGATTCTTAAGAATGAATTTATTCCTGCTAATGAAATTTCTAACTTGCTGTCCAAAACTGTTATTATTGATTCTATTGAATTCTTCATCAATAACATCGCGCTTAATGACATGGTTAATATTTTGAGATCAATTGATGTGAATTTGTTAAACAGCACACAAATAAGCATGGAAATTAAGATGAAGCAACAAAATCTAGATAAAATGGATGTAATGAGAAGCTTAATCATTGTTAATATTCTTGATTTTCTTACTGTCATGATGCGACAGCATCAAATGGACAATGTGCTGCTTAAAAACAAAGATGACTTATTTAAATTAATCAAAAGATTAATTTTCAAGCCACAAAGACTTAATTTCGATTTCAAGTCACTTAATATCGTACATAACTATCAAGGACGTCTAGTAAAGTTCATCAAAACTTCTACGCAATATTCAGCATCTTTTGGACCAGCACTAGCTGCTGCATTACAGAAAAAGGTAATGAAATATTTCAATAATCTATGTCAAAAAAGTGAGAAAATTTTAGCATCAAGGAATGCACAGGAAATCGATGAAAGTAAATTAAAAGGATTGATGCTGATGCTGACTGAATTAATTGATCAAATTGACACTAATGAGTTGTCACATAATTTGATATTAAAGAGTGCAGAACTGCTATTGAGTAAAATATTTAATGGAATGGTCGAGGAAGTCAATCATCAGAAGAGACCACGACACTTACCGCCTTCTATAAAGAAATTTGCTACAAATATGATCCGAATGTGTTTAAAGATTAATCCATTTTTGTTAAAAATTGCGACTTTTTCATTCGATAATCAGGAACTTAAAGTATCTGAGTCATGCAAGATCCATAGAGGAGAATACTTCCTGCAGACATTCAAGAATCCGATTTTTGAGGTAATTTTCCGTTATTTTTAAAGTTCAAAAAATTTGAACTTAATTTTCAAATATATTTTGACAGCTACAGGACAGTTATTTTTCAAAAAATATTTGACAGTTATATTTTCAAGTGGAAATTTTATTCAAATATTTAAAATACGTTACATTTCTAATTCATAGATTTTCACAACAATGATTCAAGATACAGTTGAGCTATTCGTTGCACAATTAAGCACCACAACAGATGAGAATCGTTTAAGAATCTTTAACATTCTCGCAGAAATGAATGAATTCATTTACACTCACCACAATCAAAATGTCAAGCTCCTCGAAAGCAATTTTGATGTCATAACTCGATCATGGACAATAATCAGTGAAACTTTTATGAAAATGAACAATAATTTGAATTGTGTAGACTTAACAATTATTAATTTAGTGACTCATGTAGCCATGACATGTCCACATGATTTAATTATACTTGGACAGAGGTTACAAAACTTTAAGAAATGGTTGTTGGAACTGTTCCTTAATAAATCATATTCACTGGAAGTTAAATCAAAAGGAATTTTCTTGTTGCCGTGCATAACGAATAATGAAGATAGAAGCAATGAGGAACTTATGAGAAGCCTTAATGCTATTCAGCAAAAACACATTCCATTAAGAAGCACAGAATTTGCTGAAGGAAGTTTACAACGATCAAGTCTCTTGTCATTTTCTAATGCAATTTATCAAGCTTTATTGACAAGTAAGTCGCCAGTCATTTACAGATTCCTACTTAACATTACAGTTATTGATGAAAAATACATTTTGGAAGAAAAGCTACAAAATATTCAAATTCAATTAATGAGCAGCATGACTGAAAAAGAACAAGAAATTTTTTTGACTCAAACTTTTGAAACTTTTATGAATGAAAGTTTTGATGCTGAAATCAGATTGAGCATTATGAAGCGCTACATGCTGACTTTATTAAAGAACTCGAATGTCGACACAATTTTGTCGTTTATTAAGCAGAAAATTTCACAAATCTTTAATTTAATTGACTCAAAATTGGACATAGATCCTGAAAATGCATTTGTAAATCGTTCAGCAGGCTATATCATCATTGAAGCATTCTCAGCAGCAGTTCCACGTGATAAAATTGAAGCTGCAACTTATTCTTATAATGGAAATCTCAATAATGGACTGGCATTAATTAAGGAACTGATTATGAAGGCTAAGGATGTCAGACGTGATGTCGTTTTTATGGTTGAAGATCCACAGCTTCAAGAATTATTCAGAAAGTTCCAATGTTATTGTTATCGAGCACTTGCTTCTTTAGTAGCTAATACAAAGGATCTGCCAGAAGTTTTTAATTTGTGCTTGTTTGTAGAAAATCAACGGAATGGATCATTCATTTGGAGAAAGTTGATTAACATTAGAGATGAAAATATTTACTCAAATTGGTCGCAGGACTTTGATGAGTTTCCAAAAGTTAAGCAGTACATTGTCAATATTAAGGATTTGGAAGTTAATGCTGCTGAGATTCCAGATAAGAAATATATTAACACAATTTCAATTTTTGACAAGTCATTAAGTCAAACATTAACTAAAACTGACCTATCTTATGCAGTCATTCTGTCAAACCGTGAAGTTCTTGAAAAGGCTGAAAAAGAGCACCAAAAAACAATGCAAATTGGTTTAGAATCAATTCCAATTAATGAGCATGAAATTATGGGAACTTTAGTTGGTGTTATTAATCTCATGTACAGCAGGAAGTTGACAGTATTTGCGGATTTCGATAAAGCAGACAGAAAGAAGTACGAATGGGTCTTGTCTATCGCTAATTCACTTAAAAATCCCGATCAACATAAAAATGTCAAAATCTTTTTATGTAAATTAATTGAAAATTGTCGTAATGTCTTTTGTCATTATGCTCAGTTCATGTTGGGTCCAATTTTGAGTGTCTTAACAGACGGAACTTTTGGAGATTCGATGAATTTCATTATAACTGATTTGGTGACTATGCTGTTGTCTTGGAGTAATGTTTATAAACCAATTGATACTATGGAAAAGGAGGAAGCAGCTATGTTACTTAAATTCTTAATGAAAAATGCTTATCATGAACGAAATGAAATCTTTAAGCTGAATTTGGAATTGATTAAGAAGTTAATTGAAACTTGGAATGAGATTTTTACTGGGAAAATTCCAACACAAATACTTTTGGACATGCTTAAAAAGCCAATTCAAGAGAATCAAAGTTCTAAGTTAATTTGTGGCATTCAACTTAATGCTGTTGTGCTTGCTAATAATTTAACACCATGGAATGACAATGAGCAGTGTGGATTGTTTGTTAGGGAAATTTTATCGGCATTTAATAACACAAATCCCAAGATTTATCAAGCTGCGTCACAATTGATGGGTTTATGTCTGCACATGATTGCTAAAAATGATCAAAATGATATGCAGTTCTTGGATTTAGTGAAAGAGAAATTGGAAAAGCTGCAAAAAAATCGTGCAAATTCAGAAATTTTCCTTCAACTTCTTTATGGAATTCAGAAGGAATATCCAGCAATTTTGGACTCTTTTATGGCTCGTGTAGCATCGTCCATTCCATCAGCCATTCGAAAGACTAAATGTGTTTATATGGAAATGTTTTTGGCAAGACTGGAAGTATTTAAGGATTCAATCTATAAAGAAATTGCTGCAATTAACATTCGGTATCTTTTGAAGCAGAATGAATATCAACTGCTTGCCTTACATATTATTAATAAAGGAATTGAGTTTCTTAGTGCTGAAGAATTTATGAAATTTTTCGATGACCTTAATTACCTTACATCGTCTCCGAATGATGATGTTAAGAATCTTCTCTATGAAATTATGATTTATTCTGTCGAAAAATATGGAAGTAACGTGAATTTTGACAAGCACAAACCCATGAAAATCATTCTTAAAGGATTTTATGATTCTGATGAGCAGATTCAGAGACGTGTGATGAAATTCTTCAATGAGAATAGTGGATTATCGAAGTCGTTTAAGGATCGATTCCAGGTAAGGCTTTATTTATTGAGAATTGAGAGACATGTGAATTTTATTAAATAACGGCTAAATATTTGAAAAATAACGTTCAAAAAATATTTGAATTTTATAAATTCGTTATTTTAATTTAAAATTCTTTCTTCAACCAGGAACTCTTGTCAATCTACTATGACCCTCACTTAGAAAAGAATTTCTTACATTACGCGACAATAATGCTGTTGGAAATTCCAATCCACCATCCCCGATCAAATCGTGCCTTACTTGATTATGATCCTAGAAACAATGTAAATTTCTTTGAATATCCAATCTCAACAAGAACAAGCACACAACGATCACTTCCTCCAATGTTCATTCAGTCACAACAGAAGCAACTTTTGGCAGGCGATGGATCACAATACAATCAATGGGTTCGTGCCACACAACTGAACAGCAATGAGCATCAAATATTTGCACCAACACAAGATCCAAACATAATGACCCAAGTCTCTCAGAGCTTTAATTTCAAGCAGACACAAAATTCATTTTTTGTAAGTTTAAAGCCACAATTTTTGAGTCGACGATCACAAATATCGAGCAGCATGAATGAGGCTGATGACTTACAGACAAAAATACAAAGGAACAAAGACAAAAAGTCCGATTCACTTGATTATTTACGACAAAGAATTGTCAAGAAAACAAGCTCAGAAGTATCAAAGCAGTACGCAATGAGGGCAATCGATAGACGTGATTTTAGTGAAATGAGCAGGAACCAAAGATTAAACAGATTGAAGCAAGGCAAGGAAGTCACACTATATCGCAGATATCGACTTGGAGACTTTCCAGACTTCTTTTTTAATTCACTAGCTGTGCTGATGCCATTACAGGCTCTCGTTAAAAAAGATGACCTTATTGCTCGACATGTCTTTATATCCATTTTTGAGTCAATTGTGAATACATTCGATGAAACGCACGACGAGGAAACAAAGAATGAATTTTATGCATCAATTAATAAGTCTATTGTTTTTGCCTTTGAGAATACAACAGAATCAAATCCATTGTTCCTTGGTACCTTAATAGAACTGGCTAACATGAGCGAAAAGTATTTAGAAATATCACCAAAAATTATTGGAAATTCATTGTCCATAACTGGAATTTTGTTTCTTGAATCACAACTTATGAGAATGAATGAAGATAAAAAGAATGTTGTTGCTGATATCCAACAGCTGCCAGTCAAACGTATGAAAATGGACGAAGATGAGATCCAGGTGATGCATTGGATGAAATTAATCGATTTGTACTACAAAATTAATGAATATGAAGTCGTGAATGGAATTTTTATAGAAAAATTGAAACTTACATCTGCTGTAAAGATTGATGTCCTTAAAGCTATTGATTGTGAGCTCAACAGTCAGTATAAAGAAGCTTCTGATCTTTATCGAAATTTAATTAAGCAATTTGCGCATCGAAATCAAAGCGAAAAGGATTTCTACTATAATTCATATTTTAATTGCCTGGCGCATCTTAGTGACTGGGATTTAATAACAGACAGCGTCCAAGGACAGTTTGATAGCTATGAAGAGATTTGGAATGGAACTGAATTTAATAAGGAAATTTTATTGCCAATGTTATTAAAAGGAGAGCTTTGTAAGATCCTTAATGGTGATATAAATGATGGATTCCTTGGCGTACTCGAGGAATGGCTGGATAAAGACAACAGAAGTGATTATTTGCATAAAAAGTTCCCAGAAGAAATTGGAATGTTAAATGTTGCTAGTCAGAATTTTACAGCATGCTGTGTAGACATGGATACAGTCTTACAAGCATTTAGTGATAAATGGAGCACATTGGAGATTTACGAGGATAAATCGAAGCTACTTAAGTCATGCAGAAATATTGCAGAAATCACAAATTTTGTGTCAATCATGACTTTAACAAATAATTCATATTTTGAGCATCGTGCTGACATTCTGTTTAAGTCATGGCGTACATCTAGTCCAAAATCAACAGATTCATTAATTTTATGGAATGACTTGATTTCGTACCGAAAAATGTTTCTCGCATTTTTAACATCGAAATATGAAATTGATCAAGAAACACTTAGAATGTCGGAAGCATCGATTATTGATGCTAAAAGAAATGTCCTAAATGTTGCATTTGAACAAAAGAACCTTGATACTGCAAAATATCTTGTTTATAGTCTAAAAAATGATTTGAAGAACTCCACAAATGTGAATATTTTAAAGTTTAATTTGGAAATTGGAAAGTATTCAAAAATGAATGCAGAGCAAAAATTTGCAATGGACAACATCCAGTTAATGACGAAGCTCGGAAGTGCCTGGTCAAAAATAAAAATAGGAGTTTTAAGTGAAGAATGTGTTAAAGAATGTCCGGAACTAGAAATTGAAGCTTTAATCTGTACCAGTGACATTTCTTGGAAAGTCTTTAAATTGTATGAAAAAGTCGATGAAGATTCGTTGACTGAAAACATGAATAGCGATTTTATGAAAATCTTAGATCATATTGATGATGAAACTAAAATTATGTCTAAATTGGTAGAGTATGGAGAATTTGCATTGAAACATGCTAGAACTTTAGCTCAAAAATGTGTCGATGCTGATTATAGTCCTGAAAAGGAACTGATGGTTGGACATACATATTTCAAACTTGCTCAATTCTATCGAAATGTCTTTGTTGGGGATATTAATACGGTGAGTTCAAAAAACCTTAATTTTCTTTATAAATTTTGAATTTGTAACGTCTTTCAAAAATATGAATTTGTAACGTCTTTCAAAAATTTGAATTTGAAAAGTTTTTCAAAAATTTGAATTTGTAACGGCTTCTAATCAAATTATTCATTTCGGCTTTACAGTCTAAAGAACTTCAAATACAAATGATCAAGTCTATATTTCGAGCAATTTCTTACGGTGCTGAGGATGCTAGTGTCTATATTCCATACATCCTTCAACTACCAGCTTTAAAGAAAAACAAAATAACAAAAGATTTCAACGAACAGCTGAAAATGGTGCCTGAATGGATGTTCCTTGCTTATATCTCACAAATTTTATCCAATTTTGATTTCGAGAATGATTGTTATTTGGATAATTTGATGATGAAGCTTGCCAAAAAATATCCAAATGCTCTTTATTTCCCATTTAACTTGTCAAGAGATAATTTTAATTATATTAATGATAATCAAGTCATGGAAAAGGCATTGGTTAAAGATATTAGTCAAATAGTATCAAATCCAACAATTGATAAGTTCACATCAGCTTTGCAGTGTCTTGTTGTGCCTGAGAAGTTTATGGAAATTCACTTTAATAATTTCTATCATGAATTGAGCGCGGCTGATAGTAATGAGAAGTTCCAGGAAGCTGTACAGAAATTATATGATAATGTCTACGTCCATAACAAGAATCTAAAAGGACAAGAATTTTCTAAAATATCAGATTATAAGGAACGAATTTTGGCATTAAAGAAGTTCAATTATGAACAAGATCATGAAAAGGTCACTGCTAGTATCAACAGCATGTATAAGAACATTTTAAAGGACACAAAAAAAGAATTCAAGTCCATAGAACTAAGAAAACTCTGCAATTGGCTAGCTGAATATAAATGGAGTGGCGATGCTGACTTTTTAGAAATTCCAGGACAATATTCAGGAAATGTTAAGCCATTCATTGAAAGTCACGTGAAAATTGTACGATTTGAGCAGCAAATTAAAATTTTCCATTCCAAGCAACTTCCAATTGAGATGAAAATTTATGGAAGTGATGGAAAGTCTTACAACTTTATTATCAAGTATGGCGAAGATCTGCGACAAGATCAAAGAATTCAACAGGCACTAAAACTTATGTCTGCAAAATTATTGAATGACAAGAATTGCAAGCAGAATCAGTTAAAGATTGACACTTATGAAGTCATTCCTATAAATTCAATGTGTGGAATTCTTCAAATTGTTAATGATGCCACGACTATTTCTGACTTTATGCTGCAAATTAGTAAGCAATTTATGGTACAAGACTTTAGTGATATTATTGCTGCAATTAGATTGGAATTTAAAGACTTTTTGAGAGGCGATCAAATGTTTCAAGGATGGACGAAACTCTACGAAAATGCTGTGCTTAATATCGATCGAGAGGAACTAGTCAACAAGTTTGCAGCATGTGAAAAAAAGATTCCAAATGAGATACTTCAGCGATCTTTACAAAACATCTCAGTTACTCTCGAAGCTTATTATATCCTTCGTAAGAACTTTATAACAAGCTTGGCAGCAATGAGCATTGGACATTGGCTTCTGGGAATCGGTGATCGTCATTTAAGTAACATTTTAATTGACATGAAAAGTGGACGATTAATTGGTATTGATTTTGGTGTTGCATTTGGAACTGCTGCTGCATTGGGTAAGGATTTAAGTCATTTAATTAAGACTAACGGTTGGGTTCAAAATTTGAACTTCAACATTAAAAAAAATCAAACTTATTATTCAAATATTTCTTGGCAGTTATTTTTAATGACAATTCCATAATTATTTAAAATATCATTTCATCTACAGACGTTCCTGAACTCGTCCCGTTCCGTCTCACATCTCATTTTGTAAAAGTCTTAGAGCCAATGAGCATTAATGGATTAATTAAAAAGAACATGATGCATGCCTTGAACTGCTTCCGTAATGCTAAAGATGCTATCCTAATTTTCCTTGAAGTATTTGTAAAGGAACCAACTTTAGATTGGCTTCTAAGCTCAAAATTGAAAAGTGTTGGTAATGCTGAAGGAAATACAACATCAAACTGGAATCCTGAAAAGCGAATCGATATAGTCAAGAGAAAATTAGATGGAGCGAATCCAACAAAGATTTTAATTGAGGAATTAAGTGCTGGAAATATAAAATCAAAAGAAGCACTTTTTGAAGCTTATAAAGCAATGATTAATGGAAATGATGAATCGTTGAGAAAGAAATTTGAAAATGGTCCGAGTGGAGAAATGTTTACTGTCGAGGATCAAATTACGTGCTTGACAGAATTGGCAACAGATAAAGCTATACTTGGAACAACTTATATTGGATGGGATCCGTGGTTTTAAGTTTAATTGTTTTTTATGAATAAAAATTGATGATATTTAAGTGTCAATATTTATTTGAAGCAACATCAGACATTTACAAACATTTAAGGTTCAGGCATTTACGTTCAGTTTTCTTCGTAATAATCAATATCCATGGTTGATGAATAATTAGGTTCCCAGTTCTCATTAGCCATTTCACCGAATCGACTATAAACCTTTACTATAAGTCTCCGATTTTTCATTTGTGACAGAAGCTCTTCATATTTTAAATCATGATTCTTCAAAATCCTTTCTAAGATTCCAAAAACTTTTAATTGTGGTGCTTTAGAAACGACTTGATTAATAATTTTTGCTGGATTTACAGTTTCAACATTAAAGAAGCTTCCAACATTTAAGTGCTGTAATTTTGTGCATTTCATAGTAATCGCAAGTCTCTGATCCATACCAAGTTCTTTCAAGCTTAACTTTTCAATGTTTTCTAAATTTTGATATGGAATCATGGAAAAGTCAATTGTATTGCTAGCTCTAGCACAAGAAATTTCTAAATTCTTTAAGTTTGGCATCTTTGCGGACATTAAGAAGTTACAAATCAATCCATCCAAACTTAGATGTGTGAGATTCTCAAAATAGATATTAGTGAAAGGTTTAAGCTCAAAATCTGAATCATTATCAAGTCTGAGATACTTAATGAATCTGTAATGCCTTAACAGATGTTCCAGCCATCGATTGTTTGCTTCGCTGTTATATAATTTTAAGCTTTTCAAGTTTCCATTTGGATCTAAATGATCAACATCTTCAACACCACAATAAAGTGAAAGATTCTCAATAGCAGGATGATTAGTCATGACATAGTTACAAATTGACTCAGAGAACAGTTCAATCATCTTAAGGCTCGGCTTTTGAGATTCTAAAATTCGTTGACATTCAATTTCATTGTCTTGGAAATAATTAAATTGCAATTTCTCAAGATTCCAAGCAACTTGACCAGGAAATCGTAATGGCGGTGTGTGGTTGCATATTTCTAGAATCTTGATGGTCGGGATGTCTGAGAACATGTTCATAATCTGGAATTGGAAAGAAATTGAGATTTATTAAATGATCTGAATCTATTGATGGACCAAATAATTAGTTTAAGGGCTTTGCCAAGTCGTAGGATCAAACCTGCTCTGGCCAGACCAATGCACAATCGAATAATAAACCAAACTCACATCATTAATTGAATGCATGCCACAAAGAGTAATTGACTTCAATTTTGATGATTCCACGGGATAAAGCTTCTTGCAGGGCTTCTTGTAAGGACTTGGGAGCCAATTAGAAATCATCTTCTTCAAATGATGGATGGGATTGAAATTTGAATTGTCAGCATCATAAATCCTGATAAAGAATTCTCTCACAGACTTGAAGTTTGATAAAATATATTGCAAAAATTCAGCTGACTTTTCGAGCTCCTTATTTCCAACATCGAATTTCATCCAAATAATGTTGCCTTTGGGTTCATAATTCTGGATCCAATTAAACTCTTGCTGACCTAAACGCTCAAACATCAACTTACGTATGCGTAGCTGAAAAGTTGATTGTTTATATGAAATTTTTGATACATTTAGGATGTACTTTTGCAGCAGTGGTCCAGAGTTATCTATTATGTTGCTGAATGTACTGCAAACAAGCCGAAGCTCTAACCTGTTTGGGACATAACAAAATATATTTTCTAGAACAATCAGTGGAAGATTTTCTGTGAAATAGATGAGAATTATGTTATTTTTAAATACTAAAGAAGCTTTAAACTGCTATCAAGTTACCTATTTGAGCCATTTTTGGATGAATCCGAAATTTTAAACGATTTTCATGAAGAAACGTTTTTGAGTAAGAGAGATTGAGTTCTGAGATTGAGAATTTCAAAAGTAAATTTTTGGGGCTTAACAGTCTCATTTCTGATGAATTTTATAAGATCTTAGCTTCCAGGTGATTCCTGGAAGATGTTCCAGATGTTCACGCTATATCATGCTTAAATGATTTCCTAGAAGAATATTCTATTTAATAAAGGCATCACAATTTAAATAAACGCCTTCCTAGAAATTTTATTCAATAATAACACCAAGCCTGTAATGGAAAATTGCCAATAAAATGACTACACTTTGAGATCAGGGGCGTAGCCAAGGGGGGGGGGGGCATAGCCCCTACGAAAATCTGATGATTGTTTTATTAAGTATTTATAGAGAAGAAGCAGTTAATGTAGAGGAAGTGATGAAAGAAATGTCAAAATCAGCACGAAAAACTAAATTTAATGTATGAATAATGAATTAAATATTTAAACTTATGAAGAATATAGATTTAAGGATACAAAATAACGGTTTTTTAATTTTCGGAAATGGGCCCCCCCCCTTAAAAATTTTCTGGCTCCTCCCCTGATTGAGATCAATGACTCATCAAGTACATTTACCTCTCAAAAGTGATGTGGAAGTTACGCAAATAAATTTTAACTTCTTCCATTTTCATTCTCCCCACTCGAGGATGTTGATAAAGTATTTTATTTAATGATTATTTGCTATCATCACCAGATGTTCCTTTTTTTCGAAAATCATGACTTTTCGTGCTGTGCTACATTTTTTGAGAATTTATTGTAAACTGGCTACAAAAAAAATCATTGTCACATCTTGCTGCATGTCCTAATGACGTTATGTCGAACCACGCTAATCCAACAGATCCGACCCTCAATGCAAGTGCTCTTATCGGAATTGCATAATTTTCGTTGTCAGGACATGAAGAGCACTTGAGGGTGAATATTTTATTGATTTACGAATGATGTTCAATCGCTGTAAGGAATCTTCTTACATAAGTCAGTTCGACTTCTTTTCATCCTTCTTGTAAGGAATTATATAAAGCCATTAATATGATTGGATTTGATTCATCAAATTTTCAATTATTTTTATGAATGTTATACAATGATTATGATGGACAACAATGTTGTTGTAATTATGATTAGGTCTGTCAATGGATTACTTTATATTTATGCTGAATAGAAAATTGATATTTGTCCATTATTATTGCGTCAGATGTTTTATGTAATTAGAGAAATTGGGAAGGTTTTAACTAAGATGTCAAGGGAGTAGGATTTGATTCTGACTTCCTGGGCCAAAACTTCGATTGAACCTGATTAAAACTCCACTCGTAGGGTATATTTAATTACTAGACTCTTACATAATGCGCGTTTATGACGAAGACTTCATGCATAATGCGCAGTTAAACTATAATTTGTACAATTCGCACATTTTATTTATTTAAACTCTAATGCCCGTAGTATCAAATTCTTCATATAATGCGATTTTTTTATCATTTTAATAATGCTCATAATGTCAACTTTTTATACAGTGCGCACAGTATCAACTTCTTTTATATAATGCGCGCGTATTAATTTCTTCTCTATAATGCACATGTTATCATAGTTTTGAAATCAACTGTTTTAACTGCATATTGCAGTTTTTTACATAATGCGCACAATATAAATTTATTTCACAAAATGCGCACAATATCAATTTTATTTTGAACCATAAACTCGTCCATAGTGCATACTAAGCCGTAAATATAATCTATCCAGTCCAAAAAAATGCAATTTCCATTCAATACCAAAACCCAAAGCTTCCCATTTCACCCCAAAAACGACGATTGAGTAACTAAATCAACAAAGAATTGAACAATCCTTCCAAGAAGACTTCTAAATGATTACATTTTCAAATATTCACGATTTGCTAGAGCTGAAAATGCATGACATAATCAAATTCTCCCTCAAACAATAGATATTTACCGTTAAATAAAGCAGATTAAACTTTAACAAGATAACGTGAATAAAGACGTGTGTTTGCTTGAAATGACATTTCAAATAAATCATTTAATATGCAGGAACAGCAAATTGCTTATGCTAATTTTACGAATCACATCGAGAGTAAGACAAGTTAATAATTAAGATTTAAATCCCTTAATTATGTGAAAATAATGTTGATCAAGTTTTACAATTAATTTTATATATTTTGAGCGATGTGAGAAGTTTTCGATGTAAATAAAATGAAAACTTTCTTCCATGAGCTTTAAATTTCAGCTTGAGTGAAAGCTTCAAAAAAGTTTTCTAATTAATAGCAAATTATTTATTTTGTTTGTTGCCGTTTGTTGTTATTTATTTGATGGAAACAGATTAAAAAGTTTTTTACGTCAATTTCTGTGGAAAATTTGAACGAGCTTCTATTTTTAGGCAATTGCTTGTCGTTGTCAATGAGGTTTTGTTCAGAGATGTTCTCAAAGCTTAAATTAGGTTTTTGAGGCTGCTTGAAGCGAGCATAAGGTTTTCTAGAGCTGCATAAATCAACCCATTATGGGTAGGTTGATTGGAGATTTAAGAACTACTCGGATCCTTGATTACATGCTTAGAATCTATTAATTGCAACTTGACATGTAATTACGCCAAATCTAACATTAGAAACCGAATTCAGAGGTCTAATTCTCAGCTGAAATACTCAAACTTTGTCTAATGCATTTCCATTATGCCATGACTCGGTTAGAAGGAGACTGATTAAGTTCTTACTGATTGATAATTTACAAACCATTGTCCATCTTCATCCAACAACTGGCTACGATCGCCTCAAACATCCTTTGTTCTAAACTACCTCATACATCCGTGTTACCAACTCTTAGTTCTATTATTAATCTAGCACTCAATGTCTCATAACTACGTGAGACGCTATTAAGACTTGATGGATGTTCAACGTCAATTATCTTCTTCTGTCTCACATCATAAGCAACAAGTTAAATTTAACTGCCACTAAGCACTCAATTTCCTCTTCTTATTGTCTGTCTCCTTTTCATTTGTCGTCCTCTTCATCTCAGAATAGCTTTATCAAGCTGTTTATTAGAGTTTCACTTCTAATTTACATCAAATGAGATTTTCTTTGAATGCCATTAAAAGACTCGAGACCAGACGAGACATTAAACCGACAGTTGTATATCCAAGGAAAGAATTTCTTCATTATTACCAGTTTTCAAGTATATTAAAGATAATATTGCATTATTATCAAGCCACAACACTATTTACTGAAGATGAGAAATATTTTCGACAGCATTGAAGATTATACTGTTATGTGGAAATTGAAAGGATTCTCAAGAGTTTATTCTTATTCATGTATGCAAGAAAAAATTCGATGAAGATGCTCATCTTCGTTTTTTTAATAATATTTCCACTCAATTTATGAAAATGCATCTTTTATATTGCATGTGAACTATAATAAAAGAATATAAAAGTTTGAGGAATGGAATGAGTGCTGGTGGACACAAAGCATTAGCTTATTAGATTTTTTGGATGAATTTTAAAAAGTTTGAACGAAAATCAGTTAAATTCTGGATGGTGCACTCAACATTCCTTCAATGACTCTGATCTAGAGTTCAATGACTTACGGCTTGTGATAAACTTAAATTAATGCGCCCACGTTTTTAAGTTGTTGAGTTATACGATAAGATCAAAATGCACTTATTCGAAACTTTGTGAACAATATTGACTAGGATATAAAAATTTATTAAATATAATCTGAAAATTTAAAACCAAATTCTTTACAACCAAGAATAAAAGTTATTTTCTACTTTTTAGTCTACGCGAAAAACGTAGTTTTTTTAAAAAGTTTTTTTTATAAAGTATTTTTTAGGCTTGGCTTAAACCTAAAATGAGCCGTAAAAGAACTGACCTCACCAGTCATTAGCAATGCTTCAAAACTGATTAGTATTTAACAGAGATCGAAGCCGATTTTTTCGGCTTAACTCAATTTTTGATTTTTTTGATAGAAAAAAGCCATTTAACACCCATTTTAAGTATTTAAATTGAACTTTACATGCTTTACTATGATTCTGTGAAATATTTTTTCAGCATGTAGCTATAGTAAGCTCTGAATTTCAATTTAGCCGATTTTAAGCCGATCGGCTTAAATTTCGGCTTAACATTCTTTAACTTGAAATTCTGAGCTCACTATAGCTACATACTGAAAAAATATTTCACAGAATCATAGTAAAGCATGTAAAGTTCAATTTAAATACTTAAAATGGGTGTTAAATGGCTTTTTTCTATCAAAAAAATCAAAAATTGAGTTAAGCCGAAAAAATCGGCTTCGATCTCTGGTATTTAAACGTCAAAGTTTTAATCAAGTATCGCGGTATCAAGCCATATTTGGATGAATTTATATAGAGACGTGAGTTTGATTCCTGTTTTATCTGAGCAGAGTGCAATTTTGAGTATCTAGCTACATATAGGTGAAACTGCAAGTGCAAAAGTATAGGCTTCTTTGGTGCGAATGATTAGGCAACAGACTGGATATCTGGAACCCACTTTTGTAAAGACGTGGGTTCGATTCTCACCAGAGACTGAACTCTCAATCCATTATATGGAGTGCTGTTTATATGACAAGGATTTGTACGATGGTAAAGACTTATAAATTCCCAACAAAGGTCTTTTCTTAAACATTAAGGAACCTAAAAAGGCAAACGTTGTCAGAAATTCTAAAATCCAAGCTAAAGACCAACTTAAGGTTAGCGTGGAGACAAAATTACACCAAACTTAACATTGTGATTGGTCTTAGTACACATTTTACCATTCAGGAGCATCAAAGATATGATTCGTGATTAACATCTGGTCCCAACAATTTAAACAATCCATACTAAAGTCTGTTGTATACTCAAACTTGCTACAAAGTTACAGTAGATGCCTACAAAATTCCATACATAGTCCCTCAATCCCATCAAACTGCACAAATATTCACCCAAACCCAATATCCCTTAAAAATCTTGCACACAAAAATGAGAGGAGAAAAAAACACAATCTGGATGGTTTCATATCTATTCTCATACATATCCATATATGTATTGCACTCATATGATAATGATGATTGAAAATTCAAGATTGGAACAGAGAATGAAATTCAGCATGCATCCACATATGTACGTACATAATATGCAATGCAAAAAATGCTTGTTATCGATGGAAAATCAGAAAATTGTACATTTAATATTTTATATGATTGCATTATCATGATTCTATTGGGTCAAATAAGGGAAATTGGATTGAATGTTATAATAATAGCTGAAGAAAAAAATAAGAAGCATATGAAAAGGAAAGCATTTTCGCTCAATAAAAATATTGAAATTGGATTTGTGCTTGTAAGTATCATCATCGAACTTATTCATCTAGATATGATTCTTATTATATTTT